TCTCCTGGAATTGTGTTTGCACCTGGGATGCTCCAGGTCCTCCTGGAATTATGTTTGTACCTGGGATGCTCCAGGTTGTGTTTGCACCTGGGATGATCCAGGTTCTCCTGGAATTATGTTTGTACCTGGGATGATCCAGGTTGTGTTTGCACCTGGGATGCTCCAGGTCCTCCTGGAATTGTGTTTGCACCTGGGATGCTCCAGGTTGCGTTTGCACCTGGGATGCTCCAGGTTTTCCGTTTCCTTTGGATTTGCGTGTTTGCTCCTGGGATCCCCGGTGAGTTTGGGGTTTTGTATCAGCTGGAGGAGGAATCGGAGCAGACAGGGAGGAGGAGGATGAGGAGGAGCAGCAGAGGAAGGCACCGCGGTGGGGAATGGGGCTGGGTGCGAGTAGCGGGGGAACGAGGAGCAGGGTGACAGCCGTGTCCCCGGCTCTGCGGGCGGCAGGGACGGGCCGTGAGCGGGGCCGTGGCGGCAGACGCGGCCGGTGACCCGTGCCCGTCCCTTTCCCGGCGCAGGGAGCGGATGGAGGCCATGGAGAAGCAGATCGCCAGCCTGACGGGGCTGGTGCAGAGCGCGCTGCTCCGCGGCTCCGAGGCCGAGACCCCCAGGTGAGGACAGCTCTGGGACCCCGGGGGCCGGGATGTCCCTCCTGGGCGGTTTGTCCCCCTCCCAGGGGACACCAACCGTGCCTGGCCCTCGCTCAGCCCCCTCCTCTCTTTGGTTTCAGCGAGAAGAACGAAGCCACCAACGGCGGGACCCCCCCGTCAGCGTGTGAGTGACCCCTGGTCCTGCAGGACGCCCGTGGGTGTCCAGGGTGGGCTCTGCAGCCCCCCACCCACCCCATGCGCTGGTGGTGCCTTTTTTGGGCTTGCCTAAAACCAGAATTAAGAGAATAAACATGGATCTATTTAATTTAAGGGCCTCAGGGTGCGCGTGAAGATTCCCCAAGGGGCTGCACCCATAATGGATGATGGCCACGAGGTTTTCGGACAATTATAAGTTTGGTCCATTTACGTATCAATTAATTGATGTTAATTGATGTAATTTGGGGTTAATCCTCCAATTACAGCTTCAGGTAATGAAGTCATTTACTCCCAGTTTGGTTCCACCCGCTCCAATTCACTTTTTTTAATATTTTTTTGAGGTAGTGAGGCGTCCTTCAGTTACAGGCCTGGAGAAGAATTGTTTTGTCTGAATAAAACAGGAGAGCAGCAGGTGACAGGCCACGGAGTTTTAGAATTATTCCCTGAAGCGACAGAGAATTTGAAAAATATAAAAGCTAAAATCCTACAGCACCAGCGGGATCCCCCCCACGCCACCCTGGGGTGGGCTTAGCACGGACAGAGAAATTTTGGGGACCACCAGAGCTGAAGGATTGGGTGGGGAAATGTTAAAACTCACAATGTCTCTCAGACATTTTTAGAAATTCCAAGCCTTAGTCAGAAACATTTTAAATCCCAGCAAACAACTAAAAACAACTATAATTTTGAGTTTAAGCCATAAAATAAGTTAGCAACTTTAAAAGCAAAACAAACAGTCACAAAACATTAGATAATATAGTAAAAGTAGTTACAAAACAAACAAAAAAATTAATATTATACAAGAGAGTTTTAGCACCTGTACAAGAAAGTTTTTATTTTGTACATGAGGGTCGAAAGAGTTTTAGCACCTATACAAGAAATTTTTTATTTTGTACATGAGAGTCAAAAGTTCTAAAATAGAAAAAATAGACTAATCCTATTCTTCCTCCTTCTTCTTCCTTACCTCCATAGTCTTAATAATATTAATACTCAGAAATTAGTTTAAAGTAAAAAAACACTTTGTAATATAAATAGTGAATATTTTGAAAAAACTATAAATATATAATACATATCATATAAAAAATAACAACAACAATAGGCGGGGGAAAAAAAAACAACAAACAAACAAAAGTCAAAATATATACGTATCTCTACCTAAACCGCTAACCAAACAGCCACAACCCAAAAAGACAATCTTTTAAAGAACTCACAACAAACTACCTTAAAACTAAACAACAAAACGCTACGGAGTTTTACTTTAAAAACATAAATTTTAAAAAAAATCTTTAACGCCACTCAAAACCCCAAACGAAGCCAAAAATTCTCACAGGGAGAGGAGAAAAAAACCGCTCAGCAAACTCTTCTTGCCCCCCTCAGCCACCAGCCGCAGCGGCATGGGCACCCCGGTGCCCGCGCCGCCGCCGCCCTCGGCCACCAGCACCCCGGCGGGGCAGCCCACGGCCATCACCCGCCTGCACATGCAGCTGCACCTGCACGACCTGCAGCAGAACGCCGGCGACCTCCGCAACCAGCTGCAGCAGCTCAGGAAGCTGCAGGTGGGCGCCCGGCGAGGGGGCACCCCGAATCGGAGCTCCTGCCGGGTTAGGATGGGGAGAGCCCCTTGGTGCACCGGGGGAGATCAGGGATCTGTTCTGGAGATGAGCTCGGGGATCCTTCCCAAAGCCAAGCTTGGGGATCCTTCCCAAAGCCAAGCTTGGGATCCCTCCTGAATCCAAGATTAGGGATCCATCCTGAATCTGAGCTCGGGGATCCCTCCTGAATCCAAGATTAGGGATCCTTCCCAAAGCCAAGCTTGGGATCCCTCCTGAATCCAAGATTAGGGATCCTTCCCACAGGCAAGCTTGGGAACCCTCCTGAATCCGAGATTAGGGATCCTTCCCAAAGCCAAGCTTGGGATCCCTCCTGAATCCAAGATGAGGGATCCTTCCCACAGGCAAGCTTGGGATCCCTCCTGAATCCAAGATTAGGGATCCTTCCCAAAACCAAGCTTGGGATCCCTCCTGAATCCAAGATTAGGGATCCTTCCCAAAACCAAGCTCGGTGATCCCTCCTGAATCCAAGATTAGGGATCCATCCTGAATCTGAGCTTGGGGATCCCTCCTGAATCCAAGATTAGGGATCCATCCTGAATCTGAGCTTGGGGATCCCTCCTGAATCCAAGATTATGGATCCTTCCCAAAACCAAGCTTGGGATCCCTCCTGAATCCAAGATTAGGGATCCTTCCCAAAACCAAGCTTGGGATCCCTCTTGAATCCAAGATTAGGGATCCTTCCCAAAACCAAGCTTGGGGATACCTCCTGAATCCAAGATTAGGGATCCTTCCCAAAACCAAGCTCGGGGATACCTCCTGAATCCAAGATTAGGGATCCATCCTGAATCTGAGCTCGGGGATCCCTCCTGAATCCAAGATTAGGGATCCTTCCCAAAACCAAGCTTGGGGATACCTCCTGAATCCAAGATTAGGGATCCTTCCCACAGGCAAGATTGAGGATCCCTCCTGAATCCAAACTCGGGGATCCTTCCTGAATCTGAACTTGGGGATCCTTCCTGAACCCAGGCTCAGGGATCCTTCCCAAATCCAAGATCAGGGATCCTTCCCAAATCCAAGCTCAGGGATCCTTTTCAAATCCAAGCTCAGGGATCCTTCCTGAATCCAAGATCAGGGATCTTTTCCCAAATTATGCTCAGGGATCCTTCCTGAATCCAAGCTCGGGGATCCTTCCCAAATCCAAGCTCAGGGATCCTTCCTGAACCCAAACCCAGAGATCCTTCTCAAATCCAAGTTCAGGAATCTTTTCCCAAATTCTGCTCAGGGGATCCTTCACCATTGTGAGCTCAGAGATCCCTCCCAAGTCCGAGCTCAGGGATCCTTCCCCATGCCCAGCTCAGGGATCTTTCCCAAATTCAGGCTCAGGGATCCCTCCCCATGCCCAGCTCAGGGATCTTTCCCCAATTCAGGCTCAGGGATCCCTCCCCATGCCCAGCTCAGGGATCTTNCATGCCCAGCTCAGGGATCTTTCCCCAATTCAGGCTCAGGGATCCCTCCCCATGCCCAGCTCAGGGATCTTTCCCCAATTCAGGCTCAGGGATCCTTCCCCATGCCCAGCTCAGGGATCTTTCCCCAATTCAGGCTCAGGGATCCCTCCCCATGCCCAGCTCAGTGATCTTTCCCAAATTCAGGCTCAGGGATCCCTCCCCATGCCCAGCTCAGGGATCTTTTCCCAATTCAGGCTCAGGGATCCCTCCCCATGCCCAGCTCAGGGATCTTTTCCCAAATTCTGCTCAGGGGATCCTTCCCCATGCCCAGCTCAGGGATCTTTTCCCAAATTCTGCTTAGGGGATCCTTCCCCATGCCCAGCTCAGGGATCTTTCCCCAATTCAGGCTCAGGGATCCTCCCCATGCCCAGCTCAGGGATCTTTCCCAAATTCTGCTCAGGGGATCCTTCCCCATGCCCAGCTCAGGGATCTTTCCCCAATTCAGGCTCAGGGATCCCTCCCCATGCCCAGCTCAGGGATCTTTCCCAAATTCAGGCTCAGGGATCCTTCCCCATGCCCAGCTCAGGGATCTTTTCCCAAATTCTGCTTAGGGGATCCTTCCCCATGCCCAGCTCAGGGATCTTTCCCAAATTCAGGCTCAGGGATCCTTCCCCATGCCCAGTTCAGGGATCTTTCCCCAATTCAGACTCAGGGATCCCTCCCCATGCCCAGCTCAGCGCTGCTCCCTCATCAGGACCCATTTCCCATCTTGAGGGGGTCTCTCCCAGCCTGACCCTTCCTCCTCCTCCTCCTCCTCCTCCTCCTCCTCCCCGTGCAGCTGCAGAACCAGGAGACGGTGAAGTCGCTGCTGCGGCGGACGGAGACGGAGATCAGCGTGCGGGTGACGGACACCATGCGCAAGCACGAGGACCCTCTGCAGCGCCAGCGCAGCTTGGTGGAGGAGGAGCGGCTGCGCTACCTCAACGAGGAGGAGCTCATCACCCAGCAGCTCAAGTGAGCCCGGCCGGGCGACCCTGGGACAGGGACAGGGCCAGAGAGCAGCTCCGCACTGCCCGGGGCTGGCCCCGAAGTGGGGGGTACCCGTGCGGTGACACTGTCCCCAAATTAGGGAATTTGGGGTTCCCATGCGGTGACACTGTCCCCAAATTAGGGAATTAGGGGGTTCCCATGCAGTGACACTGTCCCCAAATTAGGGAATTTGGGGTTCCCATGCGGTGACACTGTCCCCAAAATAGGGAATTTGGGATTCCCATGCGGTGACACTGTCCCCAAAATAGGGAATTTGGGGTTCCCATGCAGTGAGCATGTCCCCAAAATAGGGAATTTGGGGTTCCCACACAGGGACCATGTCCCCAGATTTGGGGGTCCCTATGCAGTGACCATATCCCTACATGAGGAGGGGTCTCCATGCAGTGACCATGTCCTCAAATTAGGGGGTCCCCATGCAGTGACCATGTCCCCAAATTAGGGAATTTGGGGTCCCCATGCATTGACCATGTCCCCAAATCAGGGGTCCCCACGCAGTGACCATGTCCCCAAATCAGGGGTTCCCATCCAGTGACCATGTCCTCAAATTAGGGAATTAGGGGGTCCCCACACAGTGACCATGTTCCCAGATTTGGGGTTCCCCACACAGTGACCATGTCCCCAAATCAGGGGTCCCATGCAGTGACCATGTCCCCAAATCAGGGGTCCCCACACAGTGACCATGTCCCCAAATTTGGGGGTCCCCATGCAGTGACCATGTCCCCAAATCAGGGGTCCCCACGCAGTGACCATGTCCCCAAATCAGGGGTCCCCATGCAGTGACCATGTCCCCAAATTTGGGGGTCCCCATGCAGTGACCATGTCCCCAAATCAGGGGTCCCATGCAGTGACCATGTCCCTAAATCAGGGGTTCCCCACACAGTGACCATGTCCCCAAATTTGGGGGTCCCCACGCAGTGACCATGTCCCCAAATCAGGGGTCCCCACGCAGTGACCATGTCCCCAAATCAGGGGTCCCCACGCAGTGACCACATCCCTGAGTGAGGAGGGGTCCCCATCCCAATGTCCCCTCTCCTGCTGCCACCCTTGGTGCTCTCCACCCTCCTGACACAGCAGTGACCCTCACTGACCCCCAGTGACCCCTCAATGACCCTCACTGACCCCCAGTGACCCCCAGGGACCCCTCAGTGACCCCCAGTGACCCCTCAATGACCCTCACTGACCCCCAGGGACCCCTCAATGACCCTCAGTGACCCCCAGGGACCCCTCA